GTAGTAAATAATCTTTCTCTTTTTTGTGTTTTATTCTTTGATTTATGTTTTTATATTATTGTTTTATTTTTAAATAGTTTTTTTTTAATTTTCAATATCCCATTATCTGAATTTCTGGTGGATATATTCCAGTTGTTTGTCATGATTATTGACTTTAGCTTTCATTGGTTTGTAATTGTAGATTGCAAACCCATCTTTGGCAAGGCTTACCTTCCTAAATTGTTTTACCTATTTTACTGCTACTTCATACTTTTAGCTGTTTGTTGTGGGAGGATTTTCAGTTTATCTTAGTCTTCCACATTGCAGAAACCGGAAATCAAACCCAACATTATTTGCTTATCTGCTGTTGATGTTAGAGGTAACTTGGCAAGGCTGCTCACCTGATCTTCTGAGAGAGCACTGCTTGTTCTGCCAGCAGTTTTTGTGGGTTCTGATCCATCTGCTTCCACGTTAGGCCAGACTTTCAAGTCATGCATCCCCTGGCAAAACATGCCGTATTTTCCAAACCGTGAAACGGTTGGTCCTCCCACAGACACTGCCTTTCCTGGCCCAACACATCCCAAATAGTCAGGGCCACTTGGGCATTCCTGGGCCAGTCAGGGTATTTCACAGGCAGATTTAGCCATTCATTCCAGTTCCATCTCATACTAAATGCCTTGTAGGAGGGTCTCACTGGCAAGGCCAGAGGCTTCCCTTCCGCAAAAACTTGGCAAGTAACATAGAGGTCAGAACATGTTTTTTGGTACAGTCCTGAAAACTTCCACACTGGGTCTTCTAGAACAGCTTTATAACTCTTTTGTTCTCTCTTCCCTTCCAAACTTCCTCTGTTAAACTGCACAATGATGTCCAGGTCACAACGGTACATGTAGTGAAACTTCTCCGCTTCCCCCATGCCCCGCTCCACCCACCGTGGGCCAGAGTAACACCTAAGGCTGAAAGCAGGATGCTGGGAAGACTCCAGGACTGAACTCCTTCATTTATTCTTTTTAAACCACCTGTTCTCTTAAAAGAAGCCACCAAAAGCCAAGGTGACAATGACAAAGAACCCAGGTGTCCACAATGCCTCTGTCGCTCTGGGTTTCACGTGGGTTCTGCTTTGTAGTAAGTGATTTCAGTAGTAAGTCCTTGATAACAGAAATTCACGAGAACTCTAAGGCAATGCCTGGACTTCAACTGCCTTGGGTCAGAGACCCAAACATCTCCAGTATGATCTTGATTTTATAGTTTTTCTTCTCACATAGGACTTTCAGATGACAGCAGACACAGGCTGGGCTATCCTTCCTAAGGTGGCACTTGTGTCCTCTCAGCAGTGGTGCTGGTGGCTCTCCCCAGCTGTCCCACCTGCTATAGAAAGTGAAAGATCACGGCTGCCACGTGTAAATAAAAACATGAGCAAAGGTTTTCTTAAAGAAGCCATGTCAACAGGAAACTAAAGTGGAATTCTAAACCGTGGATATGCCATCGCATATCCACCCCTTCACAAAAGGGGGCTTACACGTTCCCCAAAGTAAGGTTACTTTTAGGAGGAAAGGCTAGAGAAATGAGTAAGCTTGGAAGTATTCTCGAATTTTATAAATGTATTGGGGAGTCCACCTTTTAAACAATGTATCTGACCCGGGACTCCTGATGAAACTTCCTTGGTTCCCACTAGAACACCAGGGTAGCTCGGATGCTCTATAAATCACTTAACTTCTTGATAGATATCGAGTTTGCTTCCAGATTTGACTTTTGTGAACAAGCCTGGGATGGGCATTTCTGATTACTTGCCTGATTATTGTCTTAGGTGGCTATTGGAATATTCTGTCAGGTATATTAGGAATGGCCCTTGGAGGGCAAGCAGCTGAACCTGGGGGAGGTGGGGTTTAGCAAGGAATCAGAAGAGGCAAGGGTAAAGGGGAGGGGAGACAAACCAGGGACAAAGAGGGCAAGAGCAAGGAGAGACAATCTCGGAATTTGTAAATGACTGTCACTGCTTTTACATCACACCTACCCAAGTCGAATGGATGACTCCTCCTCCTGTGAAAAAGCCTCACCTCTTGGCTATCTTCATAGTTTTCTGACCACTCCAGTCTCTCCTGGTCCCCATTTCTCTCCTCACTGTTAAATGTAAGCATTGCACATGGTTCTTGTCCTGCCCTGTTCATGAGATCAAGACCTCAGGGTCTCATATGTCCATTAGCTGTTCTCTTTCTCTTTACTCCCTGAATCTGGCACTGCCATATGCAGGTTAGCCTATTCTTAAAGTCAATAAGCACTGGGGAGCCCTGGAAGATTTTGAGCAAGTGAGTAACATGGTGAGTAGCACGGTAAGGGAGTAGCACGGTAAGGGAGTAGCAGGGTAAGTGAGTAGCACAGTAAGGGAGTAGCACGGTAAGGGAGTAGCACAGTAAGGGAGTAGCACGGTAAGGGAGTAGCACGGTAAGGGAGTAGCAGGGTAAGTGAGTAGCAGGGTAAGGGAGTAGCACGGTAAGGGAGTAGCATGGTAAGGGAGTAGCAGGGTAAGTGAGTAGCACGGTAAGGGAGTAGCAGGGTAAGTGAGTAGCACGGTAAGGGAGTAGCACGGTAAGGGAGTAGCAGGGTAAGTGAGTAGCACGGTAAGGGAGTAGCACGGTAAGGGAATAATAATGTAAGTAACATGGTAAGCCTCTGGTAGGAGGGGCCAAAGTCTCTTGGGGTTAGGAGAACAGTAGCTGAGATCTGGGAGATCTCCAGCCAGCACCTGAACACCTAGATCTGGAGCTCAGGAGAGAGGTGGGAGCGCTATCTCCCACATCTGGGAATCATCTTTCCAGGGGGGCCAGGTGAAGCTGTGAGGGCAGATCAGCACCAAGAGGGGTGGAGAGCCAGGAGTTCCAAAGGCAAAACCTTCCCAAGCAGCCATCCTTAGGAGGCCTGGAAAGCAACAAAAAGGTAGTCAGGGTGTGGCCTGAAGAAAGGCAAGGAACCATCACCAAGCGGGGGGAGGTGGGGGGTGAAGAGGAAGCTCTGGCCAAGAGCTCAGCTCATGTCGAGCACGCCCAGGGAGGAGGGGGCCTCCTTGGTATCCCACCTCCACTCCATCCTGTTACTTCCGCCAGATGACTCTTCCTAAAGCTGAGCTCCAGTTGTGGAGTCCTCCACTCAGAGACCCTTAATGACTCCCCGTTACCCACTGATTCAAGGTCAGATGACGGTCAAAACTCACATTTGCAGCTCGGCACCGAGGTTTCTCCTACAAGGCCTCTATGGCTCAACCCAGCTGTTCTCCCGAACTCTTAGGCCATGCATGCATTCTGCCTTAGACCAGAGCCAAGCCTTCATTTCTCTGTAAGCAGTACTAGCCCCCCTCCACTCCTCCCAGGGGCCGTGTCTGTCTCTTGGACAACCCTGGGCTTCTTATATGCTTCTCGGAGGTGTCTGTTGCATTTAGGTCACTCGAGCGGGCAGAAGTGGAGTCTCTCTCCGAAGAGGTGGGAACTGGAACAGAATGGAGCGCTTGGCCGGGGAGGAAAGGGAAGCCCTTCCCTTCATGGATTTTCTGGGCTGGAATTTAAAGAGTGTGGATGGGCTGGAAAGGACTCCTAAGTGATGAAGATGGTCTCTGTCGTAGGACGAACCAGGAGCTCCAGCACTAGAGGGGACCCCGGGTCGAAGACAGAAAGTGCAGCCAGCATCTCTTTCACTCAGTGAAACTTCAGCGAATATCACACACCAAGCCCCGTGCTATGTGCCAATAGTGGTGGACAGGTAAGCTGGCTCTTCAAAAAGAAAGAGCTCTGATTTATAGCACCGGCCCATTTCTGTGGTGTAAATATCCCTACCATTGCTGATTTCAAGCTACCAGCGTGACATTACCGAATTCGAAGCTGGGGAAAAATGCGCCCTGTCACCTCCGGGGAGCTGGTGCAGGACAAGACGGCACACCAACGGCGGGGACAGAGCTGGGGATTGGATGGACTAGTAAGTGTCTCATGGAGCCTGGTCTAAAGGTTATCAAGTTACTGTTTTACATCCACGGCAGCCTCCACTACCATCTTGGTGGGTCTTGATTCGATGTCTTCCCTTATATTCTTCTATTAGACTGTATGGCCTGAAAGGGTGGGAACACCACTGACACTTGGCTCGTGTCCCCAGGGCGCCAGGCACGGTGCTCTGCTCGTGGGAGGCGCTCTGGACTTGCTGGCAGGTGGACTCCATGGGGCAGGGAGAGAAATCTGCTGAATGGGTACATACGCACTGGATGCCCTCCAGCCCGGCGTGGAGGCAATCAACAAGCCACAAGGCAGCTTTGAGAAGCACAGTGTTGGCCTCTGGTAAAAGTGCAAAGCAGGAAGTTTACCTACAGCCTTCTCCACTCTCTGATCAGCACCGCTGCCCACCTCCTGGCACCACTGCCCATGGCTGGTTCTCAAGCCTGACCTCAACCCTGACTCCCCACCCTCACTAAAGTCTTTGGTGGTTATGCTGAAAGCAGGCGCTCTGACCTCCCAAACTGTGATGAGTCAAGAGCTGTCCCTGGCTTTTCAAAGGGGTCCGAGATCCCCCAGCCCCATTCTCAACTCCAGAATAGGTCTAGTTCCTGGTTTAAGCTGTGCTGTTTAGGAAGTATGTGTGGATTCTGGTCCCCCTCGGGGTCTTCCGTGTAGAGGAACCCTGATTAAGCCTCCATAAAGGGATGAGAGAGGGAAAACAGGCATGAGCGTGCCAGGCACCAGGGCTGGGCATCCCAGGTGCTGGCAGCCTCTCACACTCATGATCCCACAAGGATAGAAGAGCTGCCACCCTCCCCAGCAGAGCGAGCAAAGCCATGGAGGCTCCCAGCCCTGCCCCATCATCTTTCGTGACCATCCCTGGCCACCTGCTTCCATTTTGATAAGAGGGCTGAGGGGCACTTTCCATCGAAGCCATAGATCCTGGTCCTTAGTGCACCAGACTGCAGGAGACACAAGCCCCATGAACTAGGTTCCTTTTCTCCATCCACTTCCCTCTTATTTCAACATTCCCACCAGAGCCCACAACACTTCAAAGATCAAGGCTTTATTTTCTGTAGCTCCAGTGTCACAACTGTAGCAGCATATCAGAAATATCCCCACACACACACAAAAAAAAGAAATATCCCCACACAGAAACACACATTTCTCCCCTTCTTCCAGGAACTGGTGACAATCAAGAGGCAGAAACCATGATATTTACGACAGGAATTTAAGAAAGGACACTGGCCCACCCTAGTAACATACATCGTGCGTCTCGCAGGTGGGAAGCAGCAGTACATTTGTATTGAACAGGCACAATCATCCTTAAATAAAGTTAAATAAAACCTTAATGGTATAACAACGTGTTGCCAGTGCAGCCTTAGGGGGGGACTTTGGAGGACAGCTCTTGGAACAAGACAACAGCATTTAAAAACAAAAGAAAAGAAAAAGAAACCACACAAAAGGATGCAGGCCAGTATCTAGCGAGTTTCGATCCAAAGTTAAGAAAAAAAAGTCATGGATTGAAGATTTATCCCATTTGGAAAAAAAATCAATTTTTTAATTCTAAAAAGTAAAACTCAGATGTATGAGGGGTTGGATCACAAATCATGGTCTGGACAGAAGTCACTGTTATTGAGTATTGTATTCAAGTGGCATTGCTGGGCGGCAGATGACACCCCAATGACACCAAAGACACCAGTGACCAAGTTTGTGCCGTGACTGACTACATTAGGTTGGTCATCGCCAGGGCTGGGGGATGGGGAGAACATGTTCCTATTTCGTTCTTGGCCAAGTCAAAGTCACAGTCAACTGGGCCGCAGTCTGCATGGGGCAGCAAGACAAGCTTTGGAGCTCAGGGTGAGGCGGGGGGCGGTGGTTACCTCCCACAAAATTCATGACCACTTCTATTTGTTTAGTGCTTCACAACTTTCAAAGCTTTTTCAGATACATCGCTCATTCAGCCTCTGGAAGACCCAGTGGGGAAGGCAGGACAGGTGGCATCACCCCCATCTCCCAGCTGATCCCTACACACTGGGAAAGGAAAGCCAGGATCAGACCTTCCGACTCTGAAATCTGGAGACTCTATCTCTCCTGACCCAAAGGAGTTCTCCCAAAGAAGTGAGCCGTTTCTTTCCTCAATACCATCGAAAACAAAATCCCATAAGAAATAAGGAATATTTCGCAGCAGTGTGGTGTATCTGAAGTGGACAAAAAGGGGTGGTTGGGTAATTATTTTAGAATTCGATCTAGATTTTCTTCCATTTGCAAAATGTAACACTGACGGGGTATATGTTTAGAGAGATGTCAACACTTCCCCCAGCAGTTTGGTCTCCGTGGGCTTTTGGCATCCCTGAGTGGGGATGCAACTGCAACGGAGTGGGGAAGCTCGCTGCAATTGATTTCCACCGGGGGATGGGGGTGGGCTAACTCCGAGGTGGGACAGGTCAGCAGGCAGGCCCCCCAGCCCAGGAGAAGACCCTGCTCATCGGGGCACGTGTGGGAGCTGCCTGACGTGGGTTTCTGCTGTCCTTGACCTGCAAACTACTCCCAGAGGCACAGCACACGAAGTTCTGAGATGCAAAAGTCCCAGCACCACCTGAGTTCATCCCAGGAGTCACGGCATCCGAAGGAGCCCAGGTCTGAGCCTCGGTGAGAATGCAAGACATGGACCGTGCCTAAGGCGAAGGGCGAAAGGCAAAGGGTCAAGGTCAGGACCAGGCCGACCAGAACGAAAACACACACGTACTTCCTGCTCATTTTGAAAGACAGCTCTAAAGGAAACTGTGAAGCCACTGGGTCTTCCCTCGGAGAGAGGCCTGGGAAGGCTTGGCTGGAGGAAACAGGCTTGCGTTTGCTCTCAGGGATAATCTGGCTCAGATAGGCCATTTCAGGAAACAAGGCATCGTGTTCCCAGCTGGCGTGGACCAAGCAAGGCTGAAGATGGTTCGAGAGGCGTCCTGACTGAGCACGAGGGCCCGGGTCCCTTGCGCAGCGGGGCTGGGGAGCCTGGCCTGTCCCTGCATGGTGAGAGGCTCTTAAGGTGGAAATTTGTGATGGGCAGGTGTACAGACAAATGCCGTGGATATGCTTGCTGTGTTTTTTAAAACCCCTAAAACTGCACAGGGAAACACAGGAGATCAGGAGATTTAGTCAACACACACACAGACAAGAATACCTGAAGTGCCTGGGTTAAAAGACTGTTGGAGAATTAAGTCCTAGGATCAAGGTAGGATTTATCACACATGCCCGCCCAACAAGTGGCCAAGCGTTGGCATTTCAAGGGCTTTTAAGTGCTGGCCCCCCGTGGCATACATTCACGTCACCCACAAGGGAAGGAAATGGTTTCAGTAAGTGTAAGACCAGCCACCCTAATTCCACTGGGGCCGCTGTGCTCCAGTGTGAGCCGTGCTGACGCCCAGTACGTGTGCGTGCGGGCGAGCACACAGCAAGAGGAAAAGCCCCAGGGCCAGATCTTTGGTCCTGGAATTTCTAGGAAAAGACCAAGGGAAAAGGCACATGAAGGTAACTGATTAAGAAAAAAAAAAAAAAAAAAGTAGCTAAAAGTATTATATCATTATTTTGACTTGTTTTTCAACGTACCATTTTCCCCTATGAAAAGAAAATTCAAAATATAAACCTTATATTTATTATTTTACATTCAAGTGGAACTTCCATCTGGGGGGGCTCAACACAATTTTAGGCCACGTGGAGCAACGTATTACTTTGGTGCCTTTTGACTTAACCCGATGGAAGAATTCAGCTATTTTTTTTTTTTTTAAACAGCTTTATATTCCCAGCTGTAACACTTGCTTGTACACACACACAGGCACACACGCAAATCCCAAAACTTCTACATAGAAAAATAAAGGATAAACATTATCCATCTATGTGATACTGTGTACTGGAACTTCTATATACATAATTTTTTTTTCCTCTTTAATGTTTTCAGTCACTGCACATTTTCTTCCCTCCTGGGTGATCTACGTACGATTCTAGGGGAGGAGATGCTATACTGAAGCAGAAAGGCTACATCGCTCTCGGGGGCGGGGTGGGGGGAGGAAGAGAAAAAGCACTTTCTCGCTCCCCGTCAGTCTTTCGACACGTTCTACCACCTGGGATGTCCCTGCAGACGGACGGCCGTCGTGTAAGCGGCTGTCCCGTCCTCTCCTCTCTCTAAGGCGTCAAAGAGCAGATCCTGCCAACACCCTGCCCCAGGAATCTTGGTGTGAGGGCAGGGGAAGGGCAGCAGTCAGGGAAAGTCTTTGCACCATCAAAGATTCTGGCATCATTTCCCACAGCCCGTTCCTTTAGTACGGAGTTCTATTCTCTAGCTTGTGCTTGGTGAGGAAGTACTTGAAGAACTCGTAGACGGACCAGGAGATGGCAGTGGACGGCATCTGGTAGATGACGCGGGCCTGCACGCCCTTGAAGTAGCCCGGCAGGCCGTTGAGCTGGTACACCGTCCGGAAGGCGTTGGCCATGCCCGACAGCCGGCCGCTGATGTTGGCCAGGTTGAGGGCCATGTTCTCCTGAGTGTTGAGGAGGGTTTTACAAACGTCCAGAGGGGTGGTAGCGGCTGCAGCCAGGGCCCCGGCCAGCCCGCCTGAGATGATGTGGGACTGCGGGTTGTAGCCCCGGTACGGGTTGATCTGCTCCTGCAGGAACTCATAGGTGATGAAGTGGATGGACTGGAAGGGAACGTTCATGGTCAGCTGCGTGGTGTAACTCCGGTAGAAGGCCCCCAAGCCCTCCGTCCCCCACACGGTCCGGATGCAGCTGAGGGCCGACCGGTGCGGCGAGTCGTACATCTGCAAGCGCTGCTTCACAACTGTGGGCGGGTCCCGGGTGGTTGGGTTTAGCCCCACCCCAGGTCGGAGTGAGATGGAAAGCCAAGCCATAAAGAGAAACAAGCAAGTTTAGACACATGGGTAACAGGGCACAGAGAGCTAGCACACACCCAGCCCCAGCCCGAGAAACCACCGAGGGCCAGCTCCAGGGCATCCCGTTCAAACACTTGCCTCCGGGATCCAGGGCCAGGAGGTGGCTGTTTCCTGACATTTCTACTGCCTGCCTCTTGGTTGACGTGGCCCCCAAACCAGGCAGCCACTTCAGACGAGACTCCCCGAGCTGAGCCCCCAGGCCCTAGCTGCCTCGGGCTTCACACACGCTGAGAAATCTAAACCCTGCTCCTGGCTCCTCGGCCCTCTTCCGTCCCAGTACGTCTATTGGACACATGTCCCGTCTTTTATTCGCAGTGGTCTGTACCTCTGACAGTGTTTTTAGCTTCTGGGTCTCAGTGCTCTTGGAAGAGACACTAGAATGATATCAGCCCAAGCTCAATGGCAAACTCCAGTGAGGACCCTGGCTTTATTAATACAAAAGTAACTGGTGGGTCAAAGGACATGGGGCAAATACTTAGAATTTTAATTGTCCCCACGCAGTGCAAGATAAACACATACAGTGTGCTTTACTTTTAAAGAAATAAAGTCCTTAAAACGATATAATGTCAAGGAGAGGAGGGTGGAGTTGAACCTCATTTTTCTCTCCTTCAAAAAAAGAAAAGTAGAAATAAAATTCTTGCCTGGTTGACATGGGCTAACTTACTGCTCATTGATATGAATTGCCTTAAACACACAGAAAAAGCAGCCCACCTCCCAATCTGACCCAAACATCCCTGAAAGTCAGAACAAGTTTCCTATCTGCTAAGGCATGGGAGGCAGCTGACAGCAAATAAATTGTAACCTTAAAAGACAAAACCAGACAAACTTATAATGCAAGATTTAAAATGCTGCATTTTTTAACCTCTGATTCTCCCTTCTGGCAAGGGACCATTTTCAGATAGAGGAGGAAAAGGGAGAGAGTCCTACATCTCACACAGAGAATAACCCAGCTGAAGGTATGCCCAGCACCGGGTCCAAAACCTCCTCACCATTCTGACCCAAGTTGGCTGAGGACGTGAGGATATTGAAAAAGCTGACAGAACTCGTCTGTACAGCTAAGAATTGCTTTATAATGCTCCCAAAATTCCAAAGGAAAAAAAAAAAGAAGGTAATGTGGGAGAAGACAGTTACAACAAAATGGCCAAATATTAATTTATGAAGTAGAGCGATACACACATGGGGGTTCACCATACTCTTCTCCCTACATTCGCCTGTTTGAAATTTTCCATAATAATTTCAAATTTCTTTTAAAAAAGCAAATTGAACATAAGCCCATAAGCCCTAATGAATGGCCTCTGACAGGTTCCTTCTAAATTCGTCTATGGTTGATAATGGTTAACAAGGGCCCAGTGGGGTGTGTTGTGTGCACATGTGTACGTATGTGAGCACACACAGTTTCAGAGTAGTGCAAAAGCACACAAAAGAATTGGCAGGAGAGCCTGTTAAGCAGATATCCTGTCTTTACCCCCAGAGATTCTGGTTTAGTAGGTCTGGGGTGGAACCTGAGAATCACCATGTTTAACATGCTCCCAGGAGACACTGATGCTACTGGTCTGTGTAGCTCTGCTTAAGCGAACAGGAATCCCAGAGCTCAAATGCTCACGTGCCTTCTCGAGGCCTTTGAGAATATGGTACAAATTCTCCTGCTTATTCCGACTGGGGACCAAGAGTTCCCTTGCCCGACCTTCTGTCCCCACCCCCCAACTTTGCTCCGGCCCCTCTGCGCATCCCCTACTGCCACTCCCTGGGACCATGAAACATTACCTTCTGCTGGATTCATTACCGCATCGTGGAGCAGGGTGGCCATACTCCCAGCTATCCCTGCAAAACAAACTCCAGAAAATTACCCTCTGGGACCAGAGGTTCTGAGGAAGTTCCTGGAACTCTGGACTTTGCATTCTAAGAAGCAAAACTCACTACCAACTCCACCCAGGTGAGCACTGACTCTTAAAACCCTAATGATCATGGAAAATACTGGATAAAAATGAGGAAGGTAACACAGGCATCGTTACTCACATTTCAATACTGCAGAACCTCATTTTCCGTAGGAAAAGGCTAGACCTGCCAACACTGGATGCTACCAGAAAACACACTTGGTGGCTTTTTCCACCACAGGGATTTTAATTCTCTCTCATCTCTGGCCTTTGTCTACAGATTAACCCACTCTGCCCTTACGCTGGGGGCAATGGAAGGGGATGATATCATGTATACAGCAGAGACGGAGGCGGGGGGGAGAAGAGAAATCTTTAAGAAAATTCCTTAATAAAATCCAGGCATTTTTTAAAGCAAATGGCCAAGGGCAAAGGGCGTCAGGGAGATCTGCATATGGCAGATTTCCAGGGTGAGTCTGCAAAGTGATGACGTGTCTCAGAAATGGCCGAGCCCATCTGAGGGTCTCCTCTGGCCTGGCTTCAAGAACCAGGAACTTCGAAAGCCAGATTCCAGCCTGGAATTTTGCTTTTGGCTCTGGGTTTCCTCCCTCTGTGGGTGACACTGCCCAGTAATTAAGATAACTGCTAAAAGGTGGGAAGAATGAGGGACACAGGCTAACGCTTCACAAATGCATATATATCCCCCTCCCTCCCTCCCTCCCACAAGCTTAGGATCATCCCCAGAAAGGTCAAAACGCGACCAAAGCACACACCACAGTGAAGCAATAACAGTGCTGGGTAGAACTTGACATAAACTGGGCTCCATTCAAACCGCCTTCAAGGGGCTCAGAGACCAAGGAGCTAAAAAGGCAGTTTCAGCAAAAGGAGGGCCCTGAGGCCACGAACTTGAGGACAGCATCAAGAGTGCAGATCTTGGTGACGGTCCGGACAAATGCAACTAGGGGCCGATTTTGAAAAAGCAAAACCAATGTCTGCAAACCAGCCAGGTTGGAGTCATTATTACCAGGGTTTGCTGATGGGAGGGATGCTTTCTGGTTCTGAGTAGAACAAAAAGGAGAAGGGGTAGAAAGTTGTTGCCAGTCACATCTACCTCTCTGTTGCTGAAAAATAAATTTGTTAAAGTAAGTTCTCCTTATGCCACTAGCCAGAGTCTCGCTCCAAACCCAAACAGAAACCAACAAAAGCCAAACCCACAGGAGGCGAAAATAACCACTTGGCAGGGCCCAGTAAGACAAGCCTATAAAACAGTTGCCTGCGGCCTGCTCAGGCCACCCCCCACCCTCCTGGTTCCCTCGAAACAACAAAAGAAAACGATTTCAGCCCTTGCTTGCAGAGAGATGCAACAGACGGAAGAGAATGGGGGCGAAATTCCCAAATCCCCAGAAGCTTAGGTGGGAAAGGTCCTCTGCGCAGGAGCAAATCCTTTGTCAGCCATAAAACTTCTTGACCTTTTAAAGCTTAGTTAGATCTTGACGTTGTAGAGACCTGTTGGGCCAGTTTTTAAATAGTCTCAAAGAAGCTGTCCAGATAACCTTTTTTTTTTTTTTTTTTTTTTGTAATCCAGCATTCAAAAGTTTTGTTTCTATTCAGGGTTGTTTGTTTTTTTGTTTCTTTTTTTCTCCCCTAGATCTGATCATTAATTGCTTTTGAATTTTTTTTTTTTAAAAAAACAAAAAGGCAAAACCCACTCAACAATGAAACACCTCTGTCACTGATTCTCCCTGGGCTTCAGAGAGCGAAGGAGGGGAATGAAAAAAAGCGCGTGCGCGTGTGTGTGTGCGTGTGTTTGGGTGTGTGTGCACACACAAATCTAGAGTCCTTGATTCATGAGCAAGCGTGGCGGAGATGAGGCATCAGGCTGCTGGGTCACAGGGAGGAGAACCCTGGGGAAGGGTCTGTTGAAGGAGAGACCTTTCTAACTCCAGACAAATGCTTGCAAATACCGTTGGCTAGGTGGCTGTTCCCTTGGTGGTGGAAAACGGCATTTAAAGTCCTTTTCATGTTTTCGTAGCAGGCAAAATACAGGGCGTGGGCCGGCCCTGCGCCCATCATCATCACGTTGAGGCCTCGCAAGGGTCTCCAGAAGCCTTCAGTCCGTATGATTTTCTTGAGGGCTCCGTAGACACTTGTGTAATGGGCCTTGGGATCTGGATTCAAACTCTGCATTCGTGTCTGGGGGAGGGCGAGAAAAGAAAAGAGTGGGGTTAATGAGGCTGGTCAGGAGCGAAAGGAAGACCCAGGGAGAGAGTGAGAAAATAACAGGCCATTTTTATAGATTCACAGGATTTCTGGGTGAAGAAAACTTTTATTCTTCTCCTTTCTGGAGTAATCCCCCACCCCTACACACACACACACACACACACACACACACACACACGTTCACATGGATTTCATTATGCCCAGCAAAGGCGGTAAAAATGAGGGGCAGGATTTGGAGTAGGAACACCTGCCCGGCCACTGGGAAGCTGTGTGACTTCTGATGAATCCCTTAACCTCTCTGGGCCTCAGGATTTGGCACCAGAGACCAGTTTCCACGGATTGGGGGTAGAGGGGTGGGGGGATGGTTTCAGGATGATTCAAGCACATTACATTTATTGTGCACTTTATTCCTATTATTATTACATTGTAATATATAATGAAATAATTCTACAACTCACCGTAATGCAGAACCAGTGGGAGCCCTGAGCTTGTTTTCCTGTAACTAGATGGTCCCACCTGGGGGTGATGAGACCGCCTCAGCCCCACCTCAGATCATCAGGCATTAGATTCTCATAAGAAGCGTGCAACCTAGGTCCCTCGCATGTGCAGTTCACACATAGGGGTCGCGCTCCTATGAGAATCTAATGCTGCTGCTTATCTGACAGGAGGCGGAGCTCAGGTGGTAATGCAAGCGATGGGAAGTGGCTGTAAATACATATGGAGCTTCACTCACTCACCTGCTGCTCACCTCCTGCTGTGTGGCCCAGGGGGTGGGGACCCCTGAAATAGAAGTATCATTATTATTCAGGGGTTCCCACTCCGGTTCTAAAGTCTTCTGTGCCCTCACTTATCTGAGACCTCTGTGTTGTGGAAGCTCCATTCAGCCCCAACCATAAATCTCTCTGGAATCCTCCATCACCCACCCCCTCATCTCCTCTAAATACATTTTACATTTCATCTATACAAGTTAGCACTGAAATATATGGTCTTGTTCTTAATTTATTCCTATGTATAGTCTTGCCCCCTGGAGGCAAAGACCAACTTTCCCCATCTCTGTCATCCCCATCACACTCCCCAGGCACTTGAGTAGTTGTAATGGTGAATCTTATATGCCAACAACCCGGCGAGGCCACGGTACCCATGCTGGCTCCAATTATGGCCAAACGCTAGTCTACATGTTGCTGTGAATGCATTTTATAGATGAGATTACCATTTAAAGTCAGTAGACTTTGAGTAAAGCAGATTACCCTCCACTGTGTGGGTGGGCCTCGTCTAATCAGGTGAAGGCATGAAGAGAAAAGAAACTAATGTCCCCCAAAGAAGAAAGAATTCTGCCTCCAGTCTTTGGTTGTAACATCAACTCTCCCCTGGGTCTCCAGCTGGCCTGGCCTGAAGATTTTGGACTTGCCAGTCTCCACAATCATGTGAACCAATTCTCTCTCTCTCTCTCTCTCTCTCTCACACACACACACACACACACACACATACACATTATTGGCTCTGTTTCTCTGAAGAGCCCTGACCAGTACAGTAAATAAGAAATATTTGTGGGTAAATGTACCACACTGGCTCAGTCCTGCAAAAGCAGCATTCCCTCCTCCACTCCCCTCCACCCAACACACACAGTCTAGAGCAGAGGGTCTCCAAACTTTTGTAGAAATACCCTTTTACCTCTAAACAAAATCATAAAGATACTAACATATAAAATAAAAGAGCTTCTCTGACTGGAAATGGGACAAAAAGTTCTGGCCCTCCTCTCACTCCTCAAGGCAGAAATCCCCCCGACCAGGAACCCCAGGGCTCAGAGGAACAGCATGAAAACCAAATTAGTGGTGGTTTTATTTTTTGGCCCTGTGGCGCAGCACGCGGAATCTTAGTTCCTTGACCAGGGATCGAACCTATGCCTCCTGAACTGGAAACGTGAAGCCTTAACCACTGGACCACCAGGGAAGTCCCAGGACACCTTTAATGCTTTTAAAAAAAAAAAAAAGTAAAGACTACTTCTGACTATAAAATTGGTCTTTAAGTTCAATTTAGCTTTATTAAATACTACTTTCCCCTCTTTTCTTCTACCACAGACTGGTGAAGCCGCCAGATACCTGGGTCCCACATTCCCAGGGGGGGAATGGACAGGGTCAGTGTCCCTGTACCTTTTTGTTTAAGTGTTTTCTATTCTAACCCGTTTCAAAAGGATTTTAGGCAACTTGATAATAGAGGACACATTATAAGCAAACAAGACCAAAGGAAGAAGTGGGTGAGTGTGCCAACCAGAAGGGTCGCTGACTCATGGCTACAAAACCTGTGCTTTGTTCCTAAGGGCACTGCTGGCCAGAGAAAATAAAGTACACGAAACGCAAAGTGCTCCCTTTGGAAGAGACAAAACTGGTGCTCCAGGGATGGCAGAGGTTCTCTAGCACTAAATTCTAATGGATATTTGAAATTGCTCAAGCTTTAGAGCAAATGAAGCTTCATATTTTGCCTGGCTTTCTCTTATCACTGCCCCCGATAAAAATCAGGAGCCTGATGCAGGAGGTGGTACAACCAGGTGGCCGAGAAGGCAAGTTCTGCTATCAGACAGAACTGATTCCATCACTTACGGTGTGACCCTGGACAAGGCAGTTAACCTAAGTTTCAGCTTCCTCTTTTGAGAGAAGGAGTGAGAAAATTAAATGTCTATTACTATCCTTACGGTTAATAACAATAAAGGATTCATCAAGAGGCTAAGTAATATGGTTCTAGTACCTGGCCTTCCAGACCGTTCTAAGCTCCGTGGAGCAGGGGTTGTTGTGTCTGTCTGAGTCACAGCACATCTCCAATGCCCATTACAGTGTCTAACTCACAGTGGGGGACCAACAAATGTTTGTTGAATGAACGGATACGCAAACACACACACATGCAACTTAGGGTACCAACGAGGGTGAAGCCGTACTATGTCCCTTATTCACCTCCCCTAAGTATAAGCATGCTTTCCTGTAATTACCTGTCCCTCCATCACCCTTTATATCTAGAGCGCTCCTTATTGATGAAAAGTTCACATGTGGCTGCATTTCTCAAGCCCAGAGTGTGAGTCTCTGAGCCACAAGAGGACCAGAGGCAGCCTGTCCCTGGGGGCCTAGCTGGGGCCTGTCACTAAGAAGTGGCTCCTGCCAGGCCCATTCCCAGAGGAGAGACCCGCCTTGGGGAAGGTCTGCAGTGGCAAGACCAGCCTATGGAGGTCAGCCTTCCTCGGTCCCAGCAGCCCCTCGCAAGCAGGGGTGTGGCAGTGCAAGAAAACACACAGGACTGGAGTGAGACACTGGATCCTGGCCCTCATTGGCTCTGACAGGGCCAAGTGGCCTTGGCCGTGGCATCTCACCTCTCTGGTCCCCAGTGCCCTCAACTGTAAAGCAAAGGGGAGGATCAAAACAGCGGCTAATTATCAGAATCACTTGGGAAATGTCTAAAAATACCTGTCTGGGCACCACCCCAACACATATTGATTTAAAACTTTCTTTTTAATTGAAGTATAGTTGATTTACAATGTCATGTTAGTTTCAGGTGTACAGCAAGGTGATTCAGTTCTCTCTCTCTCTCTCTATATATATATATATACACACACACATATATGTATATACATGTATATATATGTGTGTATCTATCTATCTATCTATCTATATATATTCTTTTTCAGATTCTTTTCCCTTACAGGGAAAAGAATTTTATTTTCCTTATTACAAAATATTGGGTATAGTTCCCTGTGTTTTACAGGAGGTCCCTGTTGGTTATCTATTTTATACATGGTAATGTGCATATGTTACTCCCAAATTCCTAATTTACCCCACCTTTCCCCTTTGGTAACCATAACTTTGCTATGTCTGTGGGCCTATTACTGTCTTGTAAATCAGTTCACTGGTATCTTTTGTTAAAAATTTTTAGATTTCACATATAAGTGATATCATATGATTATTTGTCTTCCTCTGTCTGGCTTAGCTTTTTTTTTAATTCCCCAGATGACCCTGATCCTCACTCACACTTTCGGAGAACTGCTAAATAAAGGCCCCTTCTAGGGCTTCCCTGGTGGCGCAGTGGTTGGGAGTCCGCCTGCCGATGCAGGGGACGCAGGTTCGTGCCCCAGTCCAGGAAGATCCCACATGCCGCGGAGCGGCTGGGCCCGTGAGCCATGGCCGCTGAGCCTGCATGTCCAGAGCCTGTGCTCTGCAACGGGAGAGGCCACAGCAGTGAGAGGCCCGCGTACCGCAAAAAAAAAAAGAAAAATTAAAAAAAATAAAAAGTAAAGGCCCCTTCTAGGCCCCAACGCTTTCTAATGACGTTCTTCACCCGGCCCCGGCAGTAATCAACACAGCTTTGGTCGCTTGAGGAGCGGTGAGGGCTGTCTGGGAGGGTGGTGTATGTGGAGAGACGAAGGCAGGGGGTAGTGGGCGCACGGTGGCAGGGCTTTAAAGCCGGCCAAGCCGACATCGCTGGTCTGCACCATCCCCGCTCTGGGACCTCAAGCAGGTTCCTTAATCTTGGGGTATGGAAAAATCCCCCAGAGAGCTGTTGGCAGACTGTGAGGTAACCTCAGGAAACGCCTGGCTTGGAGTGCAGTCAACGATAATTGTCCCCCCTCCTACCTGCCCCCTATATATGGGAAGGCACGGCGGGCAGGGGGCGGAG